GCTGTGAGTTAGCTGTGAGTTAACTGTGAGTTAGCTGTGAGTTAGCTGTGAGTTAGCTGTGAGTTAACTGTGAGTTAGCTGTGAGTTAGCTGTGAGTTAGCTGTGAGTTAGCTGTGAGTTTGCTGTGAGCTAGCTGTGAGTTAGCTGTGAGTTAACTGTGAGTTAGCTTTGAGTTAGCTTTGACGTAGCTAAGAGTTAGTTGTGAGTTAATTGTAAGTTAGCTGTGAGTTAACTATAAGTTAGCTATGAGTTAGCTGAGAGTTAGTTGTGAGTTAACTATAAGTTAGCTATGCGTTAACTGTGAGTTAGCTGTGAGTTAACGGTAAGTTAGTTGTGAGTTAGCTGAGTTAGCTATGCCCTGTTTGGAGCACTGTAACTCAGACAAACTTCACAGCAAGAACGTTGTTCAAAGTTTAAATGAGCCATAAGTCAGATTTTACATGTCTGAGCTGGTGTCCTGATACCTTTATCAGTTTGGTGATCTGGGGCACTCGTTCCTTTGGTTCGGTTCAAGTTCACACTGCAGAGCAGGCAAAACCAGAACAAACCGCCTGSGAAGCATCATGTAGTGTMGGGTTGGGCAAAATCGTATTGTGTGAAATTAATCTTCAAAAAAAGTTTTGACGGTTTTTATTTGGCTCTTGGTGATTACAAAGATTAGTTCTGCTGGGTGGACTGACCCGGGATCGGCGCTCCTCTTCTCTTTCCTCTTCTAAACCAAATAATGGCTCAGCTATTAGCTCATCAAAGTCCTCCCTCTGTCTCAGACTGTTTCTCCTCTCCAGATCTGCATTTGAGCTTCCCTWAGCTCTCTGAARAGGTTCTGACTGTGGTTCAGTCCATCAGCTACTTTTAACTTTTACTTTTTAATCATTTAAAATTTAGTTTTTGTTTAATCAAACTCCTCCTATTTTCCTGAACTTTACATTTCCTGTGCAGCTTATCATTGAAAATGCAGATGTTTGTGTCTCACTTCTGCACAACTTGAGCAGACTTATTGTTTTGTCATTTCAGCTCTGATAAGAAAACACAGTCGACACATATTAATGCATTTACAAATAATGTAAATTTCTGAAATTTCTGAAAGCTTTTTAAAGCTGGGAAATTTTGGACTTATCCCAAACTGGAAACTTTCCATTAGAATTATGGGAAAGAACTGGAAATTCATTGATGGCATCATTGTGTCACACACTTTTAGAAAGTATTTACATTTTAACATTTTCTTTCTGTTTTTATTCTTTTCTAAATGAATTTCTTCAGAACTTTCTTTGTTTTCCAGCTAAAGTCAGGAATAAATCTGCTCTGTTCATATGAAGCTAAATGTTGCCCTCTGCTGTTGAATCGTTGGATCACAGATGTGTGAGCGGACCTGTGACACACCTGTTCACTGTTTACTGTGGTTCTGGTCTCTGTAGGGTCCTCCTGGTTCAGGTGGTCTGAAAGGTGAGGCAGGAGATCCTGGTCCTCAGGTGAGTGTGTTGCCCCCCAGCTGCTCCTCGGGGCCTTGCTGGAGGTTCTGAACGCTCTTCCTGTGTCTGTGCAGGGGCCCCGTGGCATCCAGGGGCCTCCGGGTCAAATGGGCAAGTCCGGCAAACGGGTGAGTGAACTCCGTGACCTTTAACCCTCTCGCAGGGCCTGACCCCGCCCGGCCCGAGTGTTTGTTGTGTTTTCATTTCAACGCTGAGAGGATTATTTTCACCTCAACAAAGAGCTGATCCAGGCCTCGGATCAGTGTCCGGGCCTTTAATCTGTCTGAAAATGCCTAAACAGGAAAGGTGGCTGTGGATTCAACAAGGTCGAATATATTGACCTGTTTGGACACAGATGGAAAACAAATAAATAAAATCTGAAGGATTAGAATCCAGCAGATATCAGTTCATCTCCAGCTTCACACTTCAGGGTTGGATTGGTTTATGTTTAACAGAGTCAGTTTGAAGCAAAGCAGAAATTAAAAAAATAAAAAGACTAATTGTCAGATTCTATGGAGTTTATAAACAATTAATGTCATACCTGGTGTAGATGACCTGGTCTGCTCCGTCTGGTGCTCAGGATTTATTTGTTTTATTGTAAAACTTTAAAGGCACATGTAAAACATCTGCAATTTTGAAATCTAAAGATTTAAAATAATTTCTAACTTATTTAACCAAAGAATCTGTTGAAAACAAAAGAATACGGCAGAACAAGTAGAGTAAAAATAAAACAAATCAATTTTGTGGAGCACGTAAAGATTTCTGTTTTCAAATCCTCTGATTGAAACTTTTCTCTCATCAGTGACTCTGCTGAACTTTTGTTTGGTTTCTTTAAGGGTCGAGCTGGTGCTGATGGAGCACGAGGGATGCCTGGAGAGCCAGGTTCCAAGGTATGGAGTCTGTCGCACACTGATCCACCAAAACTGGCCCCCAGATTGTAGAACTGACCCCAGACTGTAGAACTGACCCCAGACTGTAGAACTGACCCCAGACTGTAGAACTG